AATATATATACGCAAATACAGGGCACACCTTGCTAGGTGTGCCAGGGCCTTTTGTGAAATACACCCCCCTCAAAAGCGCGTGAGGTAAGGAGGTAAGACATTTTTTTTTAAAAAAAAAAATAGGACATGTGTCCCATTTCTATTGGGCAATAAAATTCATATGTCATATTATATAAATTAAATTATCATTCATATTTTGTATCAAAAATAAAAATACCAAAAATCATAATTTTTCATTCTCTACAAATAGAGACCACATTTGATATTGTTTGGAATACAATTAATTTATCATTTTTTATAATTAATTTATCTTATTGGAAGATTATGACATAAATCTATAATTAGATGAATATGTTACATAGTAAGATGAACATGTCATAGAATAAGATGAAAATGTTACATTTTCACAGATGAAATTTAGATGAACATGTTCTAAAATAAGATATATGAACGCGTTACATAATAAAATGAACATGTTATAGAATAAGATGAACATGTTACATAATAAAATGAACATGTTATAGAATAAGATGAACATGTTACATACACAATAAGGTAAACATGTTACGTAATAAAATGAACATGTTATAAAATAAGATGAACATGTTACATACACAATAAGGTGAACATGTTATAAAATAAGATGAATATGTATTATTTCAATCTGCAATCTGTAACATGTTCATCATATTTGAAAACATATTCATTATATTATCTAACATGTTCATTATATGTCAGTATAATAAAATAATTACGAAAAAAAGGAAAAATTAGTTATTTTAAAAAACCTATCAAATGTGGTCTCTATTTATAGATAATGAAAATTATGAATTTTGGTATTTTTATTTTATTTTTTAATATAAATAATTAATGATATTTTAATTTATGTAATATGTCTCATTTTTCAATTAAAAAAGAAAAAAATAGGAATGTGGACTACACTCTCTAAATTTTCTTGTTTTTGGAGTGAAAGAAGCGCGTGCAAAACTGTTCTGACACATCTAACTAGGCGTGCCAGGGTACACGGTAGTACTACTGATATATATAAACTTTTCCGAAGCTTCAAAAAAGTCTAATTGAGTACACTATAATTATTGTGAAAGTCTTAAAAATTCTCTACAAATTAGAAATGAATAATACACCCCCTTCGTATAACACGAAAAAATCCTTTTCTTCTTCATTGTTTACTCGCGCCCGTGCTTTCATCCACTGAAGAACTCTTGTTCGGTGCTTCAGGTAATTGTGCGATTCTTCTCAAAATACGCCGCTTGTAAAAATATTTCCTTAAATAAGGGCCGATGTTTAGCAGTATACGAGAAATGGATTCGCGATGTAATTAACTAGTTACGACCACTTTGTTCTGTTATATGTATGTCTGGTTTTTGTTTCTGCATTTCGAAGGAAAATGATTCTGGTAAACCTATGTTTGTTGTTTAGCAAGCTGAGATCTTTCTTGTTATGTTTTCTTTTTTTCGTTGCTGCACCTTTTAGGAATGAATAGCACGGACTCTGGGCAATTTACTTCAAGAATGTGTGTGTGTGTGAGGGCTTAGTTATGAAATATAGGCTCTCCTTTCTTATTTTTTTTATTTGGTGTGCTCCCCGACTTTTCAATCTTCGCATAAATTTGTTTGAGGGTTGCTGGGTTTTGCTAATATATGTTGCTTGTTTATCAGCGTTGTCGTCTGGGTTAAATTGTCGCCGCCATTCAGATGTAGCCTTGGGTTGCCATGAAAGGGCACTGGCTACACAAGAAGCAAGCTTTATTATTCTCTTGTCAAGATTAAAGAAAATGAAATGACAAGATATTTCCTTCTGGTTCATTCATTTCTTGTGTGTGTGTGTGTGTGTGTGTGTGTGTGTGTGTGTGTGTGTTTTGTGACCAATGACCATGCATAATTAATCTGTAAAGCATATGGGAGAATTTTAGAAGGCGAAGAACTTTTGTGGATAAGTTTAATGAGCCAATTGTTTACAATGGCTGATAAAGTCTTGTTTAAGGGTTGAGCTACATGAGAGTTGTTTCACATCTTTCTTAATGTTATTAGCTTCTAATGCTAATATAATTGTGATCACTGGTTATTTTATTTCAAGTTCGTATTTGATCTGACTTGTATCTCTTTGTTACTCTCTCTGTCTGTGTTATTTTTCCCTTTCTGGTTGGCAAGTGGATGTGTTAATCAGTTAGCAAATTGTATGAGACCCTCTATTACTAGTGTACTTCTGTTATTCTGAGCAGCTTTGGTTACATATAAGGTTCCTGGTCTAGGTTCTTTTGTAACCTACTTGGTATTGCTGTACACTTTCTCCCTTGTCACGGAAAACTTAGTACTAGAGCATAATAGTACATTTTAACATGTTCTCCACAACATTTATTTTGTAGTTCTGAATATAAAAGCAGAACAGAACCAAAATCGTTTTCGAGCTTGCATTTTTGAGAAACAAAATTGTAATTAAATTGACAGAAATCTTAACTTCCAATAATAATGTGCAGATTAATACCAGGCACTCATGGCGGCGGGGCCTGGTTCGAAGCCGAAACCGGGCATGACGGTCGAGGAATGCGAGAATATGATCCAGAGAAGTCTCAGAAGTACTACTCAGTTATTGTTTTTGTTAATTTTTGACTGCAAGATTCGATGACTTCCTAATCCTAGATGCATTTTATGCAGCTCCCAAGGTGAAATTTCTGAAGGAACACCTGGAGAAATCAGGATGTCGTATTGGCAGCAATTTCATAAAGGCCAGCCATTGTAATGGAGCGACTGCTGGTGGTTATGTTAGAGGCGAAGGGGTAAATTGAGCTCAATACATTGCTCTTTTCGTTTACAAGTGCAAATTTGAAATCCTAAATTGCCTATGGAAAAGGGGGAAATTCATTAAGAAAGAAAGAAAAAAAAAAAAAGCTTGCTTTGCTTATTGCCAAAGTATTTTTGTGTTCCTTGGGTAAAGATAGGACTTGCTGTATGAGTAGCATTTTAATTTTATTTTTTTTTTCTATTTTTGTGTAAATAGGAAATATATGATTCCTAATCTCATATAATTTTTTGTGGTCTTAGATAGTAGTTTGTAGTAATCATCTGCGACTTCAAGATGAGGTAACCCAAGTGGTGATTCACGAACTTATTCACGCGTACGATGAATGCCGTGCTGCGAATTTTGACTGGTCTGACTGTGCTCACCTTGCTTGCAGTGAGGTAATAATCTTTTTAATTTTTTTTTTTTAAGTAACCTGCTCCGTTTTTCTTTTTCTTATCTTCTCTATTTTTGCTGTCAGTTAAATAAATACTGGAAAACACACGAGTGTCATAGGAGGAGATTCTTGTTTCTCATTGTTTTTTTTTTTTAATCTGGCACACAACTGCAATTCTTTTCGCCTATGGGAGCAGATACGGGCCGGCCATCTTAGTGGAGATTGCCATTACAAAAGGGAATTACTTCGTGGCTATATGAAGATAAGAGGTCATGAGCAAGTGAGTTTCACCTCATACCAGTTACTTCCTTGAGTGCTGTTTTTCTTTTTGTTTATATTTTTTTTTAATGGCCCTGTGCACTTTGCCTTATGTGACGACGCGTGCGTGTGTGAGTAGGACTGTGTTAAGCGAAGAGTGATGAAATCAGTGAGTGCAAATCCACATTGTTCGAAAGCAGCAGCAAAGGACGCAATGGAAGCTGTTTGGGATACTTGTTATAACGACACTAAGCCCTTTGATCGCGCTCCTTGACAATATTAAAATACTTCTTTTTTTTTTCCTGGTCAGCGTTTCGATTTTGTCCAAACATCCTTGCTTGGCATTTTTTCACGAGGGAGTGAAAAACTCCTTGGACTGAGATTAGAATTCATACAAGGATAACATCAAAAGTTGCTCTATGAAGTTTTACCTGTGAGATGGAATGTATTATGTTTGTTTTGAGAGATTCTTCTACTCTAATATTGCATGCCTGTAATTTCAATGTCGTCGTAGATATTACGCATTATAGCCAAACTACCCTAATGGTTTAGTACTATAAACACAAACTCAGTTCACATTCAGAAATACGAAAGCCCCAGACATTTATTTGTGTTGTGCCCGTATGGGCCTTTTTGGCCACACATTTTTGCACACTCACATGCATGTGATGTGTGTGTGTGTGTGTGTGTGTGTGTGTGTGTATATATAGCCGAAAAGGCTGGCTGCTTGGGCACGAGTGAAGCAGTCGGCTCCTCAAGGGGAGATTTGTGAGGTAAGTGCAAACTTCAAAGGGTGATTTGGATTTTTGAAGAGATGCTGAAGGGGCAATTTTGGTTCATGAGAGCTACTCCAGCCCAGCGCTATTTCTCTCCTTTTCGCTGGATTAGCGCAAAAATCATCCCAACCCTGCGCCACATCATTGTGCTATATTAAAGGAATGAACAGTGTTGCGCCATGTTATGTATTTAATGTAATATTAATGATAATTTTTTTGTATAAGGTGTATTAGTAAATCTATTTTTATGCTAAATAATTTGTTCAATTTATTTTTATACTAAATCATTTTGTGCTTTTTATGATGTATTTTATTTTTTTTTAAAGTTTTTTTAATATTAAAATGGTATCATATGAATAAAATTTTAATACAATCAAACAAGTATATTTCGTTAAAATCAAAAGTTTCCAACACATGTAAATCAGAAAATACACAAATTAAAATGACATAATATTAAAGTTAAAATATTAGAACACACATAAATCACAAAATACACAAATAAAAACAACATAATTAAAGATGAATTAAAAAAAGATTACAACACACACAAATCATAAAATACACAAATAAAAATAACATTTATATAAGATTAAATATACATATATATACCAATATATTTGAAGTAAAAAATGAATAAAAAATATATCTGATGTAGAGTAAAATATAGAGATAAGGGCTGGAGATGGATGTTTAACTCTACTCTAAAGTAGAGTAAAGTTCACGCTAAAGTAGAGATAAGAGCTGAAGATGGCCTCAGACATGCATACAAAGAATCACAAAATTCTCATTGGACCCTTGTCAGGTTGTTAAAGTAAGACGAAGATAAAACGGAACAAAGATTATTTAAGGGTCAAAATTATCGGGAAATGCTACGATCCTGTTATGGAACTATCCGTCAGGGTTTGTAATCGTTAGATCATCATGTAACCGTCGTAAATAATTGATCTAACGACTACAGACACCGACAGAATGATTCTGTAACGGGAGCGTAGCTATTTCCAAAATTATCATTGGCCCCGGGGATAGTTAAAATATAGACAAAGGGATTTTTTTCTTTTTTAAAAAAAAAATAAAAAAAAATAAAAATTTCCGTTGCCGGGACTTGAACCCGGGTCTCTCGGGTGAGAGCCGAGTATCCTAACCACCTAGACTACAACGGATTGTTGATAAATTGCTAGCTTAAAATTTATATATTAACAGCCCTCAAAACCCTTCTCCATTGGTTTAGACTCAGTCTCGCTTGCTTCTATCCACTGAAGAAAACTTCCTTCTCTGCTTCAGGTACTTGTACGATTCTTCCCGATTACTATTGTTTTCTTTCGTCTATACTTACTGATTTTTTTTTTTGATTAATTAATTGAAGCCAGCCGAAAGAATTTGAGCAAGCAACTCCTGCTTCTTTTTCTGGGTTTTTTTTTTTTTTTTTTTTTTTTTTT